CGGAGGCTTTTTCGCCTGGGGCGGCGAAAAAGCCAGAGCCGGCCCTGACTCCAGACTATGAATGCGTTGAACCACATGGCTTTCCCTATAAAATACCTGTAGAATTATTCAGTGTTACCTGTGCAAGCATGTTTTTCAACTAAGAAATGCCACTTAGCAGGTTATTAAATCCTCATATTGTTAATGTTGAAATCCTAGCAATCTTCAAGTTATTTTCTTTGGAGTCACTTACCCTCAACAACAGTGAGCAGATTTCCCAAATCTGGGGTGGAATGGGAATGTGCTGGCTCAGAATTCTTGACATTTCCCAATGGCAAAAATGGATCATAGTCATTAGATGAGAGATCTGCAAGGCTCAATATGTAATGGCTTTGCTGCGTGTATGTGCTTGAGCCGTAAACACAACAGTGCAACACCTGTAAGAAGAAAAGAGACGAAAATTGTACTAGAAATAAATTGTACAAAAAAAATATCAAGTCAAGTGACATACAGTGATGAGATAAATTTACTATGCTGTTAAATTCTGACACATTGTAGCATATGTCTAAGGCCTTGTCGACACTGCCACTTACAGCACTGAAACATTCTTTGCTCAGGGGTGTGGCAATGTAGACAGTAGCTATTCCCCTCGCAGAGGTAGTTTTATTACAGCACTAGGAGAGCTCTCTCCCAGCGCTGGAGCCGCAACTACACAAGCCGTGAGCTTTAATGTCGGCTGTGTAGACATACCCTAAATCTTGCTGCTTCTTCCTACATCACTTTGCTAAAATGAAACTCTAGTCCAGGCCCTCATTTTGTATCCTGACTAGCGCAAGAACCTCCGTTTTCAACATTCTCCCTTCTTGCCTTGACAAATTAAATTTCTCCCTGCTTGCATCAATACAAATAATTGCTGCAAAGATTATTTTCGCAGCTCACTGCTTTGACTAAGTCACCCTTCTCTTTGCATCTCTCCACTGGCTTTTGCTTCTCCATTACTATCCTACTTGTCATCCCTTTTAAGGTCCTTCACGGCTTATCCTTATTCTACCTACCACCTCTCAAACTATCAAGAGGTTAACTCCTGCCTCCATTATGACAATGCCACCAGCCTTTATTGTCCACTTGCTAAATTTTCAAACAAGCATCTTTGTGTTTCTGTCCCATGCTGCCCTTCATAAACATTTGCAAGATTACCTCTCCATAAAACTCTCCTTTGCTGTGATGTCTACTAAAAACTTGACAACACATATACATCTGGTGTGCTGAGAATGCTGCCATTGTGCTGACCAGTATTGTCTCTCTGTTTCCTGGTGCTCTACCAATCTGTCTCTTGAATCCACCTGTTCTCTCTTGTCTTATACTTAGATTGTAAGTTCTGTGGGGCATGGACCATCATTTTTGGGTGTTCGTACAGCACGTAGCACAATGGGACCCTGGTCCAAGACTGGGGCTCCTCTGGGCTAGTACAATGCAAATTAATAATAAATATGATCTATTATTGATATAATAATAATGCCCATTGTTAAATTCTCACCGATTCTTTAAGAATGAAAGAAAATGCTTTTTCTTATCAAATTATCTTTTTATCAGTAAACTACTATATTAGCCACGAAAACAAAACTATTTATCATCACAGATCTTGATTTTAAATAAAAGCAATATAAACATGCTATTTTTATATTTGGAAAATGTGTTTATGCATATTTTAAAGCAAGACTGACTTCATGCTTGTTAAGTACAATTTCACAATTGGGACAAAATCTACTGTGGTATATTGTTATAAATTGGAATGTCATTATAGAATATCATCCCTCAGGCATATGTAGACATATTCAAAAGTGTATTACATCAGTTATAAACTAGATTATTTTGTTTACTTGAAAGATGTACTGATATTTCATAAAACATGTTTAACTTACCTATGGAAAATTTTGCTAATTATACGTAGTTGTACTGTATTTCTTGTCTTCATTTGATTATTATTGGTATTTGCATTAAATGAATAAGTTCTACAAGTGTCTTAGGATGAGCAGTCATGGAGACTGCTCTTTATTTTGAGTGGGTGCTTGTCCACTGGGAAATGGCCACAAAAGCTGAAACTGGCTTTACACAACTGTAGACTTCTATCTCCTCAGTGTTGGTCTTGAGTATTTATAGTGTGTTTTCCTACAGAGCTCCTCTAGGGGGACCTCATTCAACAGTCACAGCTCTGACAGCAGGAGGAGCATATAGTTTTCATCCAGATCCAGCTGTCCTCATAAACACGTGTGCAAGAAAGACATAACATTGCCATGGATCTCCTAAGGTCCTCAAGACAGGAACTCCTTTCTTTGTGAAGTTTACTAGTCATGCTATTAGAATACAGTAACTCCTCACTTAACGTTGCAGTTACGTTCCTGAAAAATGCGACTTTAAGCAAGATGATGTTAAGCAAATCCAATTTCCCCATAAGAATTAATGTAAATAGTGAGGGTTAGGTTCCAGGGAAATTTTTTTTTGCCAGACAAAAGGCATTATATACATTTTAAACAAGCAATTTAATACTACAATCATCATTGCTGAGTATGAAGCTTGGTTGAGGTGGTGGAGTCAGAGAGTGGAAGAGGGTGGATTGTCCAGCTCCTCCTCTTGCTGTTCTTGCAAGCACATGCACGGACTTTGCCGGGGACGGGGGGCTCAACCCTCGGCCCATCCACTCCACCCCTTCCCCCAAACCCCACCCTTAACCCGCCTCTTTCCCCTTCCACCTCCTCCCCCTTTACTCCGCACGCCACGTCCTGCTCCTCTCCCCTCCCTCCCCTGCCTCCTGCCCGCGGCAATCAGCTGGTTTGTGGCATTCAGGAGGCTGGAGGGAGGAGCGAGGACGCGGCACGCAGCCTCTCCCCTCCCTCCCCTGCCTCCAGCCCGTGGCAATCAGCTGGTTTGCGGCATTCAGGAGGCAGGGGAAGGAGGGGGGAGGCTGCGTGCTGCATCCTCGCTCCTCCCCCCAGCCTCCTGAATGCCGCAAGACAGCTGATTGCCGCGGGCAGGAGTCGGGGGGAACAGGGGAAAGGCGCTGATCCGTGGGGTCTGCCGGCGGGTGGGAGGCGCTGGGGGGGGGCCGTAGGGGAGCTGATAGGGGGGCTGTCAGCCGTGGACAAAGCAGAAGGTCAAACCACATTATAGGGGAGCATTGCACAACTTTAAATGACCATGTTCTGTAATGGAGCAGGGTCGTAACATCGAAACAACGTTAAGCGAGAGGACGTTAAGTGGGGAGTTACTGTATGTGCTTTCCCTGGCAGGACTCCTAAAGCTCCTTGGGAGCCAGGACCCTGCTTCTCTAGTGTTTTAAGATCTGTTGGCCAAGGCACTTTCTTTTTTCTCTCAAAACTGCCAACATTTAATATTTTATTTTTTTATTTCCAGAGTTTGTGTGTGTAACATTTCAGATCTTGGCATCAAATGACTTTCTTTTTTTAATTGGTATTTATAATGTAATAGAAAGAGTCATGACAAGTAGTGCTCAGAATATGTTGTCCCTTTAATTTTTTTAACTAACCTATACATACTATTTTGTTTAGTTATTTATCCACCCAATGATTGAAGCATTTAAATAATCATTTGTAAGTCAACATGATCCCCAAAACACTACAAACCAGCCCTGAAATTTCAAAAAGGAGCCATTTTAACTCCTTTAAGCTCCAAAGCTACTGAGCAGACCTGTAACTTTCCAGAAAATCAAATCTACCCCCTAAATGTTAGGGGTGAAATTTTAATTTGTTTTCATAACTAACCCATGGAGTTAAACAACAGTAACTGAAAAACGTCAATGTAATTCAAATGATGGAATCATCAGTTATACTTCCATAATGCTTCTGTGCCTCAATGATCCAGAATAGGCACATCTTTACACATTTAAAAACTTTGTTAAAAACAATTCATACTGAATTGATCCTTCATACTCACCCTATATATGTAATCCAGTAAGGGAGCTTTGGAGGAATGTTGATCTTCCAGAACAGTAGATACTGGCTCTAGTAAGGTTTTCATTGGTAGCGCCATGCACCAATCCAACAAGCAAAGTAATAATGAAACTATAAACTAAACAGAAACATGCAAAAGAATACATAAGCAATACTCATCAAATTCATCAAAATGTTTAAATATTAGCTTAATATTTTAAAATAAGATTTAGGACTAAACGATTTCATTTAATGTGCAGTTCAAGAAGCAAAAATAATGACGGAGTTTGTGTTTTATGCCACATACCTTTTTATCTGTTTCTACAGAGGAGTATTCAGCACTTGGCAAAAGAAATGCAATGGTGGCCACGAGAATCTGCACAAAAAGCAAACCCACAGGCAAACAAAATTACAAAAAGACATTTTGTATCTTTAATAAATACAAGGCCTGAACCATTGACCTTCAACAGACTTTGGATGAAGACTATAAAGAGCTGTTAGCAGCCATTTTTGTATATAGCATCTGAACCAAACTGAGAGTTCCACATTGTTAGCAGATTCTAGAAATAAATTAGTGCAAATTGGAAAAAATTACACTGGCTCCAGCAAACTATAGCAAAGAACTCTCCTAATAATGATTGCAGAAGGAAGCAAAGAAAGTTAGAGTTCTAAGATTGTAACTTTATAGTAAGCAACAATTCTTTCAACTGTGAAAAATAGCATCAGTTGGACATTCTATTAACTTTGAAGCTTTTTCAATTCTATGAACAATCAACACAGAACATCAGATGTGTTATTTTCAATTCCCAGACATGAGTATTTGAAGAGATAAGACATACTTCAGTAATTTTCCTGGATAGAGAGGATTCATACTTCTGAAGCTTTTCCCAATAAGAAACTAGCAGTTGAAGAACATCACAGGCTATCTGAGCTACCAGTTTATTAGAAAACTGTAAGAAAAAAAAATAAAATTAAACAAAGAAGTATCATGCCAGAAAAAAATATTCACATATAATAAACAGTAATGTTAGAGTTTCTACTATTTTAAATGGTACTACAGCCATAAAAACTACATTAAAGGAAAATGAAGGTTACTTACAACTGGAGTTCTTCGAGATGGCTCTGCTTGTTCACATTTTGGGTTTTGTGCTGCCTAGTGGTGCTTAACAAGAGAACCTTCTCCAAGCTGTGTCTATTAAAGTGCTCATGTGCCCCCTCCTAGCCCACTCCCTAGTGCCACCGAATGTTCTGAAGGTGAGACTATATAAGGGGGAGTGCCCTCTACCAACTCAGTTCCTTTTACCAACCCAAGGGACAGAACGAAAATAACTCTGAAAAAAAAGGGGAAGGCGGGTGGGAAGTGTGAATATGCAGAGCCCTCTTGAAGAACTCTGGTTACAAGTAATCAACCTTCATTTCTTTTTTTGAATGGCTCTGCATATTGCCACTTATGGGTAGTTTGATAAGCAGTACTGAAAATAACCTGGAAGAGAGAACAGAGTCCTAAATAAATTGAGAACACGCTGATGTGCAAAGCTCTCTCCTGAAAAGTCAAGGACCCTGAACTATAGGATGACTCAGATGTTGCCCTACCCCAACCATAGTTTGACACATCTCAAGTTACCTTCACTGAAAGTGAAGGGGGTTAGAACTGGACACCCCTGAGAATGTTTTCTCTGACTGACCATCACATCAATAATTCCAGAATGTTTTGAGGCATGCTGACTAACATCTGGAGATTGTCCAGATTTGGTCTGTAGACCTGAGACAGCCAAAGCTGCATTGGCCTCATTGTGAGTTGTGCAAACGGAGTCACATATGTAGTAGCTGCCATAAGACCCACAAAGAAGGTTACTTTCTGATTTTGACATATTTGAATGTATAAAACATACTGAGCTGTTTTTGAAAATCTGTCCTCTGGTAAAAAGGCTTTCCCTGCTACCAAGTCCAATATGGAGCCTATGAATAAAATTTTCTGCGGTGGACAAGGATTTGACTTTTTTCACATTCAGGAGAAATCCCAGTTCTGAAAAAAGCTATGGGGCTTAATAAATCATCACAAACAGCCTTTATCAGAATAGGGTAAACAAAAATACCCTGCTTTCTCAATTGAGCCTCCACGACAAAGAAGCACTTTGAAAGAACTCTTGGTGCTGTAGAGAGGTCAAATAACAGCCCTTTATACTGGAAATGGTGTCCCACCACCACAAAATGAAGGTACTTTCGATGACTGTGCCAAACAGAGATATGAAAATGTGTCCTTTAAATCAAGAGTCACAAACCCAATCCATAATTGAAAGCAAAGGGATTCTGGAGGCCAGAGTTAACATATGAAACCAAAACTTCAGAATATACTTGTTTAGGTTTCTTAAATCTAAAATGGAATGAACCCCCCACCCCCACCCCATCATTTTTCAGCACCAGAAAGTACCTTGAATAAAACCCCTGATCTTGCAGGTGCTCTGATACCTCATTAACAGCCCCCATGAGAAGAAATTTCTGTATGTCTGAAAGCAGACTAGCCTTGTGAGAAGGTTCTCTAAAAATAGATGGGCAAGGGAAATTGAAAGGGGTAGTTTCCCGAACTGAATGGCATAGTCCTTCTCTATTTGTCAGATGTAATAAGCCTGCATCTGATGATAAAATGGGCTAGCACATCTCCAAACACAGGTAGGGAAGGGTCCTCGGCTCATTGATTCTAGACTCTCAATCCTCATATCAAATTTGAGGCCTAGCGTGCGACGAAGATGACAGAAAGGTAGCATATTGCTTAGAGTTAGGCCTCGATTTAAAGGACCTTTTCTTATGCTGGCTCTGGAAATACGTAGACTGCTGGTGCTGTTGTAGATGTCTTTGATTTGATAAGAAATAAGCTGAAGATAACTGTGGATAATACAGTCTCTGATAACGGAACTAAAAAATAGAAGATCTCCTAGTAGAAGTAATAAAGCACAAAGATCTTGTCTTCTTCAGCTTCTCCAGCAACTCATCCGTCTTTTCACAGAAAAGACAATCTCTTCTGAAGGGGAGATCCTCCACTTTAATTGTAGTATGACGAGTCAGAGAAGAGGAATGAAACCAAACATGTCTCTTCTAAGTAACTGCAGAAGTCAGTGATCCAGCAGAAGAGTCTGAAGCATCAAATGAAGTCTTGAGAGAGTGCTTTGCTACATTTTGACCCTCCATTAGGATTGCATTTCCCAATCTCTTTTTGTCATTTGGGAAATCCTGCGCAAACAGTGCCTTCTTTTCCCACAGGTGGAACTGTTAGCGAGCTATAACAGCTTGGTAATTTGCCAAGAGAGGGACAAGAGAACATCGTTCTCCCTAGGGAATCAATCTTCTTCCCTTCTCTGCCTAAACGGGTCCAAACCTCAATCTATTACTGGCAGCAGTCACCACCAGTGTAGTAGGTACAAAGTGTGAATGCAAATATGCAAAACCCACTGCTGATATAATTTCTCTATTTTCTTGGAAATAGGTTGGCAAGAGGCAGGAGAGGACCAAGCAGCCTTAGCAGGCTGCAGCAAACTGTCAAGGATTGGTAACGACATCCTATTCTTGGAGGTAGCCCCAAAAATGTAAACACCAGGTAGGATGTCTCCTGCACCGGCACTAAAGTTAAATGCAAAGTTTACACCGTGTGATCCACTAAATCATGAAATTTCAGCATGTCCTCAGAAGGGGAAGAGGCAAAAGCCATTCCTGCATGCTCACATGGTGACAAATCAGGATTATAGTCTGTGCCAGCATGCTCCAATTTAAAAAGAGGAGCAATCTCCTCATCATCTTCTTTAGACAGAGAATCAGGAACCACTGTTTGAGGTGCAGATGGATATAGTGGAATCGGATGCAAGGATTTCTCCCCCACCAAATCCTTTACAGATGAAACATCACCTCTCCATCCATAAGGAGGACAACTGAAAAGTTCCTGTGGTGGCTGCCAACCTGGCAACTGGATATGGGAACATACCTGCAAGAGGACCACCAAAAAGAGGGACAAATCAGGAGGAAACAGGTTTCTATTATTCCTCTATTCTCCTCTAGATACAGATCCGGCCTTGGATCCACTATGGAATGCACCAGAGACAACAGATCCAGACAGAGGACAGAAACAAATGGAGAGAAAGTTCTTTGCAGAGAGAAAGCTGTTAGGAGGACAACGTTTAGACAGATCAGGAGATAGACTGATAAACTCCTCTATTACTCTCCTTTTCTCAGGTGAAGAAGATGCAGATCTCGGAACGGTCAAAACCTGTCTCTTTTTCGAGACCCTCTGTTTCTCACTCAGATCTAAGGAATGCTCGGAAGCTAAACAGTGCGCATCAGCTACCAAAGTAAAAGTCTACTTTGGAACCGAAGATGAACCCGGAACTGGAGTAGGAGACTTGGACAACACAGGATCCAATGAAATACTCAAATCCACCTTCTTGGATCCAGAAGCTGAGCCCAGAACTCGCCTCGATTTTGGTATTCTGTCACATGGGACCTTGGATCTGAGGACTGCCTGGATCCAGAAGGTTAAGCCTCCAGGGCCTCCTTATGGAGAAGCACCTGCAACCAATTCTGCCTCTCCCTGTGAGCTCTGGGCATAAAAGTGCAGCAGATGGAACACCCAGAAAGTGAGTTATGCTCTCCCAAGCACCTGAGGCACCTAATGTGATCATCTGACATCAAGAAGACAGCAGAGTACAAAGCACACCTCTTGAAGTATCCCAGCTTCTTTTTCTTCTTTGGTTCTGCCATAACCTGGAACTGAGCTACTAACTACCAATCTATACTTAACACAAACTACAATACTAAACAACTAACAATTCACAATGGAGACATACATCTCCCACCATCCCTGGATCCGAATGGACTGGAGTGGTTCACTTGCATCTAGGCAAGCGGTTGGAAGGAACTAAGGTGGTAAAGGACCTTGTGACCCCTTATATAGCCTCACCATCAGAATGTTTGGAGACACTGAGGGGGTGGGTAGGAGGGGGCATGTGAGCATGCTAATGGACACTGCTTAGAGAAGGTTCTACCATTAGGCACGACTAGGTGGCACAAAACCCATAAGCGGGAATATGCAGAGCCCTTGAAGTAGTAGTTAAGATTGTAAAGTCAAACACTCAAAGTTAGGAAATGCCATAATTAAGATTACCTATGCAACCTTAATGTGGACTCCTTTTGTATATGCAAATCATATCATAATACAGTCTTTAAATAAATGATCCACATACTATTTTTCCACAGGATCCTACTCATCCACTCTGTGAGAATGGTGCATGAGTAGTCTGGTTAGTATGTAGGAGCGATGGAGCATGCTCAGTGCAGATGGACTCTTCAAAGAATTTAGCTGCCAAACTAACAGGTTTCTACTGAGCATGTGCAAACAAGATCATTTCAAAGGCTCAGAAAGTAGCCAAATTAGGGTGAATTTTTACAGAGAAGGCAAAAGGCACATCCCTGGCACCAGGTCAATGCCAGTAGCCAAATTTCAAGTCTCTTTTCTATAGCATGGAGATGCTAGAGCTACTGAGCTTCTCAATGACACTGTTAAGAATTGTTTTTAATATGGGAAAAACAACATATTTTTCTCTAACCTCATTCTCAGAAACAGCTGAACCATTTTAGCTGAAACTTTAAAAAATAAATAAATAAATAAATAAAAAATCAGCCTGAGGCAGGTACCCAGCATGGAATATTTCAGCCCAAATGGTTAAAGTTTGGCAAAGTTATAAGCAACTAAAAACAGGGTCTTATAATGGAAAGTGTCAGGCAATCTTAACTAAAGGCATTGCTACCTTCACCACCTATAATCTCCATTATTTAGTACAGTATAACTAATTATTATGAGTAATTATCATTACTTATGTAGTATAACCATTTCCTGCTTATGACAGGTTAATTTTTTACATGATCTTTTCAAGCTCTGAGTTTTTCACAAGTAGGGCCTCTTAAATCATGCCAATATTTGTGTAAAGCTTTCAAGTTTCTGTTGTTTGACCAATATATCTCTACGCACATAATGAAATTTCACACACACATATGTTTATAAAAATTAAAGGCACATGCTAACAAAGATGATCATACTGTGATTATTTCAAAAATTATCACTAGTTGAATAAAAATGAGTGAATTATTTGAAGATTAAAAATAGAAGATATTTCTTCCACTTTTTCCTTAGATGGCTGAGCCTTACCTATAAGATTTTGAAAAATTATTAAGAATATTTACTCAATTAAAATATTTACTATTTCAAAAGAACTGCACGTTCATGCTGTTCTCTATAAGCCAAAAGAAAATATAACTTTCCAATAACTGCACCAAAATTTGATACAATGAATAACTGTCACTCCCCTACATCTACCAAATTACCAATCATTTGATATGACAGAAAAGTCATTTAACACCATCTCTAGGCAAGTGTCTCCTACCGCTCATCAAAATTTATTTTCAAATGAATGCCTTGTCTTAGACAGTATTTATACAGCTGCAGGAACTTATCACCCCATAACAAACTCTATTCCTTTGCCACTATGCGTCTTCAATACAGCTGAAGAGGCTGTATCCAGAAAGCAGCTGTACCACACAAAAATAAGAATCTTTTCATGATTCTTTCATTCCCCCTGCTAATACATTAAAGTAAAACTGTTTCATTCATTCCATCTCGACTGATATTAAAGACAGCATCAAGCAACCTGTGACAGAGTGGTAGGAAACTGTGGCTGATCCAGCACTCTGGTCATTGGTACTCCAATTAGATGCTCTCTAGAGTACTTTGAAAAGCCGGTGCCTGTGCTAACAGTGATATTTTAGATAGTGAGTGAGTGAAAGACAAGCCAGGTTCACTAAGTCTGCGGAGCAGCCAGAGAACATGTGGAAGATCCTGAAGAAAATTTCAATCAAGCAAAAAATAAATTCACTGAGCAATTCCATGGTCAGCAAATTCCTGATAATCCCCATAGCATTTAAAAAACAAACTTGCAGACAGATAAAATTATAAGCATAAAGAACCAAAAAATCAGGATACACAACTGGGACACATCTTGATCCTAAGTCAGAAAAGTATTTAAGTACATGCTTAACTTTAAACATATGCTTGATGAATATTTCAAGTATCTAGAATACCTTGTTCATACAAATGTTCCCTTTGTTAATCACACAAACACAATTCATACTAATACCTTTAGTGTTACACCTATAACATTTATTGCATCCTTCACTTGAGGATGGTTTGTGCACTGTACTAGTTCTTCACATATCCAAACTCCAAGGCAGCAAACAGCTATGCACCTTTTAAAAAGAAAGGGAAACAATTATTTAGTTATAAGCTTAAAAAGAATATCCTCCCTTCCTTAACATTTCTCACTTTCTGAAAAATATATTTTGGAAGATTTCATAATGATTTCTCAATGACACAGTACAGATCTTTTTTACTGACAGATTTTATGGCTAATTACAGAAAGCAACAGAATCAAATAGAGAGTTTGACACTGACTGAATGTCAGTCAACCTGGGATAAATTTTAAAACCGCATTCAGGCTGTCTGTACCCTGAGGGTGTGATTTTTTAAAAGTACTCAGAAGTGGCCTAACGCTGCTCCCCACTGAAGTAAACAGGACTAACTTTAAAGGAAGCAGAATTAGGGAATGCTGAGCACTTCTAAAAACCAACCCCAAGTTTCCCTTTCAGCCAGAAAGGAGAAAGAGGAGAAAGGGCCCATCAAGCCACATCTCTCTTTCCTACCTCTTGGCACAACCAATGATTTTGGGAGCAGGGAAGAAAGAAAGAAGGCTCCTTAAACATTTAGGAATGATTTTTGACAAGCAATTGAGGTGCTCGCGAAACCTCTAATGACTATGGGCGGGTAGGAAAATTCCCTTCCTGCCAAAAAGCCCTTAGATTTTCTATTATTTTATAAATGACAGATGGTGTAATAAAGGTGCAGTACACACAGCAGTGTTGATAACAGACTGGTCTCTGTTTCCTGTCCCCAGCCACATAACACGGGTCAGTTTTGTTACAAAAGGCTACACTCCTGTCACAAGGCAGGACTCCAATGGCTACTGCATCTTCCCATTAAAAAATAATCAACTGTAAATAAAACAATATCAGCCAAAAACGTCAACCAAAAATTAATGCAAGAGTAAAAGAAAAGAAAACAAACCCAAATCCAAACAAACTAACAGATATTTAGGATGGAGATCAGGCTAGACAACCATAAGCCCCTCCAACAGATGGGAGAACTATTCTGTTTCTTAGCAATCATTTGTTAACGACTGTCTCTGAACCTTGGTGGCTTTCAGACCATGTGGTCACTTCTTCTCTGTTAATTTAACTGTAGCTGTCTATTCAGTACTCAAAACCATTCTTCTGCAATAGCCCATACAACCATGAGGTGTCTCCACTTCCTGGAGCCTGTGCATGCTGCTCCTGGTATTTTTCACCATCAGAGACTGAGTGGGCATACTTTACTTCCATCAGCTCACAAGCATGATCAGTAGCATTCTAAATGTCCTCGAGAGACAGAGAGACAATGGGCTTGGTTTTGTTTGAATGTCTTCTGTTCCTCCTGTAAGAATGGACTTCACGGATCACTAAGATATAACACCTTGGTGAGGGAGGTACTGCTCTTACTTCAGCAAGTTGACAGCCACTTTATGTTTGAAACCTTACAGTCACTCTCATTTACAATCGAGATAACTGTTTGGCATTATTGTTGTAGCCTTCCTCTAGTTCTAGCCTCCTGAAATATAGCTCTTCTGTAACTTCCCCAGGATTAACTGTCTTTGGTTCAAGAAGCTTGTTAGATGCTTTTAGACTTTTATCCACAACTTTCTAAACTGGCGACCTTCCTAAAGTATTATGAGTTGTGTTGTGCAATTTTAACATTGCTAAGTTTTGAACCTTTGAGTTGGCTGCTATTTTTCCCAACTTTCCTGCCAACCCATCCGACTATGCAAGAGTAATCTTTGGAAGCCCTTAGGAATATATAAACCATTGTCTACAAAACTGATCCATGAACTTCCTGGCTGGGGAAAGCCATCAAAGAATAAAATGTTCTTACTAATAACGAAAATATTCCTCCAGTAAAGAATCCTCCAATAAAACTCTAGTAATACATTAACCAAATAAACATTTCCTAGATGAGACACATAAACTTCTCTTTCATAGTATTATATAGTGAACATAGATCTATTTATATCATGTCATAGGACTCACCCATTTCAAAAAAATCAACTCCTAAAAGGATATCTTCATTAATGGAAAACATCTTTTTATTCATCTTAGTGACTAAGCCGCCCCTTCAGATAAGCAACCCTGCCAATTTACCTGAAAAAAGCGTTAGTCTGCTCGTTCTTGAAAAACCCAACATTGAGTGAGAAAGACCTTTCCATCTCTCACCCCATCTTCAACCTTGCTTTCTTAGGAAAAATCATCAAGGATGTAATGTGTTCATGCTTGCAAGATTAGGCCTTACTTGTGATTACAAAAATTATTTGTAAAAGAACTGTATATTGCATTAAAATATATTAGGTCAGATCCTGCTGCCACTGAAGTCAAGGATAAAGCTCTCGTTGAAGTCAGTGGCAAAGAAAAGCACCGATAGGAATTTTTTTTTAAACTTCTTTCTTTGTCTGGTATCAGTCTTGATTGTTTAAATGTAAAGTTTAGCATTTCTTTTAATTTAGAATCCTTAAAAGAACCTTCTCCCAAAATAGATGGCAAGCTCTTGTTTATAGCTATGATCTACTCCGTGTATTTTCTGACTTTTAATTAAATGTTGCACGTAACTAATAGCATGTTAAAAATATGCAGATTTTGAATACTTAGAGATAGATCTGATGGATTCAAATGCCTCTTTCAAAGCTGTATGCAATATTGCTGTAGCCATGTTGGTCCCAGGATATTAGAGAGACAAAGTGGGTGAGGTAACATCTTTTGTTGGACCAACTTCTGTTGGTGAGAGAGACAAGCTTTTAAGCTTACACAGAGCTCTTCTTCAGGACTGGGAAAGGTATTCAGTATCATAGCTAAATACAAGGTGGCACAGACTGTTTACCATAAGCACATATTTCAATGGACCATTCAAGGTGAAGTGGCCCATGAATACCCCTCCAGTCATAGGGGGGAAAGAAAGCAGCTAATAACACCCACACACCCCCGCCAACTGCCTTCCGCGCCCCCTTCCTTTACCCCCTATGACTGGAGGGATGTTAACAGACCACTTTACCCTGAACAGTCGCCCACCTTGTCTCTCTAATAACCTAGGACTGACACAGTTACAACTACACTTTTATCATGGGTAGTCAATAGGTGGACCGCGGGCCAAATCCAGACTGTCAGACACTTTCAAACAGACCGCAAAATCTTATTATTTACTTATTATTATTGTTACTATTTTTGTATTATTTTCTCTGGAGTCTGGACCTTGAATATATCTTGACCAAGTTGAACCTTGACAAAAAATAAATTGATTACCCCTGCCTTTTATCCTTCAAAGTTGTCAGAACACATGTAAATACATTTGACATCCAGTAAGCCACACTGAAAATGTCTTAAGAGTGGACACCATACGGTTTACCTGCTTTTTACATTATTCAGGATGATGTGCTTTGTCTATCAGATTAACCTTTTTAATAAGAAAATGCATAAGACAGATTTTATTAAAACTAATAGTTGAAAAGGGAAAATAAAGGTTAAAAAGAAACTTTTTGGTTTTATTTTAAATATAAGGTTTCTTTTTTTAGTAAGGATTTGAAAACATGAGTTGTAGTGATAGACTCAATTTATTTAGCTTAACAACTGGAAGGTTAAGGGGTGACTTGATTACAGTCTATATGTATCTATATGCAGAACAAATATTTAATAATGGACTTTTAAATCTAGTACAGAACAAAATCTAATCCAACAACTGAAAGTTGAAGCTAGACACATTCAGAGTGGAAATAAGGTGTAAATTTTTATCAGTGAGAATACTAAATCATTGGAACAATTTACCAAGTGTCGTAGGGGATTCTCCATCAGTGACAATTTTAAAATCAAGATTGGATGTTTTTCTGATATGCTTTAGGAATTATTTTGGGGAAGTTCTATGGCCTGTGTTATACAGGAGGTCAGACCAGATGATCAAAATGGTCCCTTCTGGCCTTGGTATCTACGAATAAGTACAAAATCAAAAAGACGAGGCTTCAAGGTATGTATGCGGGCTAACAGTCCAAATTCTGATCTTCCTTACACTGCAACTGAGAGCAAAATTTGGCCCCGCTGTCTGTGCTACAAAACAAAAGTTCAAAAAGGGAACCATGGATATAGTTATTTGTTTACAGGTAGATGAAATAATAGTAATAAAAAGCACCCACAAGAATATAATATTCTTTTACAAGAAATTTCAATCCAATCCATTTTAAAAACTTTACAACACACTCAGTTTCAAATATCCCCCAAAACACTGTCATCCAACCTATTATTTTTGATACTGTTCAAGTTGAATGGCCTCCAAAAAGTACAGCCCTTTCACACCAACTTATTTCTGTTTCAATTTGCCATCTTAAGACTCCACAGTATTTTCTCTTTCGTTCACGATTTTACCTTGCAGCTTCACTGGGCTCATCTGTGGCATTCTTCAATAGAATATTTATGAGGTAACACTAAAACAATAAAATTCATTAGAATAAACACTTTTTTCCACAAACAGATTACTTCTCTATTAATTCAAGTGTGTTAGATATCTAATTCGGACTGGGTCACAATTGAAATAAGTTTGGTAGTCTCAGTACACTCTTTCTAAGGGATATTTGTTTCATATCATATTTTGACAAAAGTGAGAGCCATCATACTGGTTACAGCCAACATTTATAAAATTGGGTGGATGACTAAAGTACCTACATTCAAACATCGGCATCCAAACTGAAGTCGGTTGATTTTCAGAATTGCGGAGCACCCATTGGTCTCATTGGGAGTGCTCAGCATATCTGAAAAGTCAAAGTAACTTTTAATAGCCTAACTAGGGATTTAGGGGATAGATTCACAAAGAAATGTAGGTGTGGTGATGCTGAGTGTCTCCACGCCTAACCTTTAGGTGCCTAGAAAATTGCTGGGATTCACAAAGCCTGAGTTCAGGCCTAGGCTCTCTATACAATGAATAGGGAGACAGGTGACTCAAAATGGGGTTCACAAAAGCCAGCATGCTAGGCAGCTCCCCGCATAAGCTACTCAATGGGAGATGCCAAGATGAGGGATGAGTCCTAAGCCCCTCTCCCTGAGGGAGTTTGGTGCATAAACCCAGTCTTGAGGGAGGCACCTCCCCATCTTCTTGGGATTATCAGGTGCAAAGGCTCTCTTGGCATTAGGCACCTAAGCTGTTTCTGCAATAAGATGGGGATGAGGGGAGGTTCAGAGGAAGAGCTTCCTCCTAACTTTTAGCCCAGTGGTTAGGGTACTCCAGGTTCAAGCCCCGCTCCACCTGAAGAGTAGATGAATTTGAACAGGGATCTGCCAACTCTCAGGCAAGAGCTCTGGGATATTCTTATGTGGTACTCCCTCAGTCTCTCCTGTTGAAGCTTCTCCACTGTGGATAAATAATTTTAAGAAGTCACTGGAGCGGGGGACTAGATCCTCGGTCTCCCACCTCCCAGGTGTGGTCGCTAACCCCCAGGCTACAGAGTCATTCTCATGTTTGACCTCCCTCTTCCTCTGGCCAAATGATTCTTTCACTATTTATCCACAGTGGAACATCTTCAGGAGGAAAGACTGAGGTAGCCCCACATTAGAATATCCCATAGCCCAGGGGACTCACCTGAGAGGTTACAGGTACCCGTTTAAAACCCTTCTCTCCCTCAGGTGTAGGGGATTTGAACCAGGGGTTTCCCACAACACAGGTGAGTACTCTAAACACTGGGCTCAATGTTATGAGGAGGGTCCTCCCTCCCCCGGCCACTTTGTATGAGTCTGTCCATAGGAACCCATTCTGGTAAGTGCGCTCAGATCTCCCCTACCACACTGGGCCTTGCAAGTTAGTTAGGCGGAGAAATGCCTGTCTTCTCACTGTTGGTACATTGCTCTGGGACTAGGCATCCAGATGCCTGGCATGGGGCTGCAGTGTGTGTGAGCAGAGGCAGAAACATAGGCGCACAGGGAACTTTTGCTGAAAAAATTTAGGCGCAGAGTGAGTTTAGGTGCCTCTACAGTGTTTGGAGGCAGCTGAGCGGAGGGGGGCGGGGTGGAGTTGTAAAACCCAGTTTTGTCAGACTTTGTGAACTGGCAGTTAGGCACCTAAGCCGTTTTGTGAATCCAGCCCCAGGGTGTCTCAATTCTAGGCAGACAGGTCTGAAAATTTTAGCCTACGTTATTTAGTTCAGAAAAGCACTCAACCCTAATTTGGTTCATTTTAATATTTCTCACAACCCCAATAATCCCATAACCTCAAGCCCAATTCATATCTGGTTGAGAATGCAAGAATATCATACCAGGTGTCAAGGAGGGGGTATGTGGGAGGGTGGTCTTTCTCCTGTTCCACCACCTGAAGTTCCCTACTTGGCATTTGAAGATTCTACTACATCCTTACCCAAATTCCCCAGTAATATACTGGGGTATCTCATGGCTTTTGTGCAATCTTTACCACTCGGGCTGACTTCAGTGTAAATTAACATTTTATCACTTGTTTAAAACAAGATGATTATTATTAAGCCCCTATACTGCAAAACATTACACCCATGTTTACAGATTCTCCTATGGAGTCCCATTGAAATTAATGCTCTAGGAAAACACATCAGAGCAAAACTGAGTTCTCTCTCCAGTAAATGTACATTGTTTCATATTTTAATATAATATGAAAAATAAATGTGTGTCTCTGTGCATAGCCCAGTCTGTCAATGATGTACATATATCTATGGAACAGATTCACTACATCATAATAAAAATAAATAGCTTTTTTATAATTTGAGATTAAAATGATTTGACTGACAGAAATGAACAGCACCTGATTTTAGCTAGTTCTCTCTCCTTTAAATTAAAAAATTAACTTCACAAGTCGAAACACTTACACTATATTTTTAGTTCAGTGCTAAAAATGGTCTGTAAAATTAAGAAAGTATCACGTATCAATTAAATGTATGATCATTTCTTTAATGCATGATACAAAATAATCAAATTATTTAACCAAATGTAAAACTTCACTAGATTAAATAAGGATTTACTAATATAATTTTACTTTACTTTGACATCTGCAGCTCCTGTGATGATTTCATCAGCTTCAGGGATGGATTGTAATAGAGGGATTTCTTGGTAGATATTTGGAAAGCAAACAAGAGAACCAAGAATGGTATGAGCTTCTGAGCGAGGGGCCTAAAGGAAAAAATACAAACATAATATATGTTATTTTTCCAATAAGCTATAAAAAGGACATTTTAAAGAATGGTGATACTGTGTAACATTATCAAAGAGACTCAAAGTTCTTTGTACTTGATCACATTTCTCTTCTGCTCTTTTTTTGCTGAATTTGTACAATACATTAAAATATACCCTCAATAGTAATCAGGCATTACCTTTGCATACTCAGCATAAAGTTTTGGTTTTATTATGATACATACTGCTCCTCCCATTGTTTCCTCCTATTTCCATTTTCAAATGGTCTTTAGGGTCAGTAGTTTGGCAAGAAGAGACAAGCAACTGCTTCTGTAGGATCTAGCTCTCTGACTGACCACACTGACCACTCTTGGAAATTAGGCCATTACATCCCACCTCGGGGTTAAATTTTCATTTATCCTCATCTGTTGTTCGTGCACAATGCTTTATTGCCAACTCTTTTGGATAATTCTGTAGCGTCACAGTTCTGTGGTTATCCGTGCTACTTGGAATTGATTCAAATATACATGTAATACAGTAGAACCTCAGAGTTACGAATAGCAGAGTTACAAACTGACCAGTCAACAACCACACACCTCATTTGGAACCGGAAGTACACAATGAGGCAGCAGCAGAGACCAAAAAAACCCCAAGCAAATACATTACAGTACTGTGTTAAACGTAAACTACTAAAAAAATAAAGAGAAAGCAGCATTTTTATTCTGTATAGTAAAGTTTCAAAGCTGTACGAAGTCAATGTTCAGTTGTACACTTTTGAAAGAACAACCAGAATGTTTTGTTCAGAGTTACGAACATTTCAGATTTATGAACAACCTCTATTCCTGAGGTGTTCGTAACTCTGAGGTTCTACTATAATAGGAAACTACAAGATGTGCGCTGTGCTTGGTGGACCGATGATAGAGGCATTTAAATCTTTGCTAGCTTTAATTATTTCTCTCAACCAAGTGATGTGGAAGTGCTCAAAATGCTAGATACTTTCATGCAGTATCATATCAATAGCAATTTGTGCATACATTATTATGCTGCATTCATTACAAATAAAATACTGCATTTAGTTTTACTCCATTAACTCCAAAACATGAGCCTCACCTTTTAAAAATGGATATTAACATACTGATCTACAATGAAATCTTTTCTAAGATTTGGGGAGCCTAATTTTCATACATAAATGCCTAAATAGGCTGTTCAAATCCCGTATTTGGAAGCTTAAACACACAGACATATAAATGTCTGTTTTATGTGCCTATGTGCCGATTTGAGCATCTAAATCTAGACAGGGCCGGCTCTGGCTTTTTGGCCGCCCCAAGCAAAAAAAAAAAAAAAATCGGGGCGGCCAGAACGGCAAAGCGAAAGAAAAAAAACAACAACTTGCGGCGTGGCCGGAGCACGGGTGCAGGGGGACTGGCTTGGGGGGAGGGGAGGGGGAGGGAGCGGGCGGGAGAGAGAGAGAAGGGGGCGGCCAGGGCTACAGCAGGGGCGTTGCCACGCAGCCCCTCCCGCTGCGCTGCCTCTTGCCGCAAGGGCTCTGCTCCAGTCGGTGGGGAGGGAAGGAAGAGGACTGCCCTGCAGGGCGCTCTGGTTCTCCGCGCCGCCGCCCCCTACAGGGCGGCCGGAGCGGAACCAAAAAAAAAAAAACGGCCATGCCGCCCTAGGATTGGGCAGAATGCCGCCTCGAAGAATCTGCCGCCCCAAGCACCAGCTTGCTCAGCTGGTGCCTGGAGCCAGCCCTGATTGTAGAATTTGGATCCAATGTTTTAAAATTAGACTCACATGCACTGGATGCTAAAAAGTGACTATACAATTAAAAATTAGAAGCCTATTGATATACTTGGAATGCCCAAGTAAACAGAGAAAGAGACAAATATCACATTTCTCTTTAAATATTTGTCTTTGAAATTTTGTGTTAAATATTCTCTCTTTATACCTCTCTAGGATAAGGGAAAAAATAATTATTTACTAAATGTTTCTCTTAACCTAGTTATCTGATACATTTAGGCTAAATGATTTAGCATATATGTTGGTAGTTACTGATGTTTATAATCTGAGCTCAACCTATAAATTGATACATATTTACAATCTCTAAATCTAGCTACCTGACTCTAGGTTTTTAGGCAGTTCTCATCAACATGGTATCTCAGTGCCGTAACTTTAACCTAATTAAGAAGTCTGTGCCTTGGACCTCTTATTTTGTTTACTATAACCTCTCTCTTCTCCGGCAACTCCCCACTTACTACCTCGCTCTCTGCATTCCTCCCTCTTCAGGTGCTTAATTTATGTTACTCTCATGCACCTATGACCACATCAAATTCTCCTTGAAGCACTCCACTACTATAAAAAAAGTACTTTACTTGGAAAGGGTCTGTGCTACCTTGCTCCAAGTTTCTTTCTACACCCCATCTCTACTCCCTAGTGTCCTCCAAATCCTCCCCTAATTTTTCCACTTTGCTTTGCACTCTTTCATGCTTGGAATGACTTGCCTAACAAATACATCCTCTCCCTTCCTCCTCCAAGTGCTTCCTTAAAATCAGTTTCTTCTAGAAATCCTTCCTATCTTGTTTCTGCTCTCCAGTCTCTTCACATCCATCCTCACTTGTTCTGTTCTGTTCAATTTATTTGCAATTTTTGCTATGTCAGTGTTTCTGGCCAGGGAACTTGTCTAATGGATTTTGTACAGTAGTGTAGATATTTATGGCACACTATAAAACAATTTTAATAATGTACAAGACAGTACTGCTTCTATTTCTTATGGGGTTTTTTATGCAAAATAATTTAATGTAAATATTCTTTAGATAAACTTTCTTTGCATTTGAACTGCAGTGTTACAGAACCAAATTTAATCAAACTTGGTACAGGTTAAAAAAAAAATCCTCTTAGGTTAGGGTCAAGCATGGAAAAAGTCAGCCTACATTTTAGGTATTAATTTTGCTCTCTAATCTAATATTTCAATCTATGGCCTGAGCGAGGAAGTTCATATGCGTTGGTATACTCCTGCACCCATGTGGAGCTTCCTCGATACTGATGGCTCCAACCTCATGTATGAGCTTTCAGCACCAGGAGCTATGTGCTTTTATATTATGCCCATCGTTGCAGTATCCAAGTGTCACAGTTATGGCTGCAAAAACCAATCACCCAAACTAACCAACCTCCCCACATACGCACACAAAAGATGTGCATGGGTCTTGAATGGAAATTCAACATTTACAGTAACATTGATAGCATGACACTAGAAGGAGAGCATAGAGCATACGCTAGAGTAGACCATATAAATAGACCAGGAATACAACAAAATGTAAAGCTCTATTCTAATTAAACTGCCCAAGAACACTAAGGACAAATGGATATTTGTGCATTAAGTATATTAATTAATTCTGTAATCTTTCAAATAAAAATATTGCATAGCAAGTATAAAATGGTTTGTGCCATATAGGTGTTTTGTCAGAGGAAGGATTTTTTTTTACATATTTACATGGTGTTCTGCAGTACTTACTAGCTCCGCAAGCTTTTGATCAATAATCGGATTGGTTAATTTTTGTGATAACTCTGTACAAAATTAACAAAAAGTGAACTAAAACTGATGGCTGTAAATCCAGGGATAACCCCCAAAAACTCAGGTTATGGATAGCTGGGGTAAAATGTTTCACCATTTGAATTCCGCTGAAAAAAAGAGCAGGTGATCTTTCTTCTTCTTTAACTCATACTATGCCTAGCTATTGCAGCTAACATACCTCTACACAACAATCTAAAGTTACTGTGCAGAAGAACATCAATAATTATACTAGTTACAAACACAGAGAAAGAATACCTTTGTTCTGATGTCCCATTCTTATGCACTAGTTCTTCTGCTTTTGCAGGCTTGTCAGACCTTTAAACTTATTTTAGCCTGCCAGTAATAGTTTTGTATTTTATTAATTTTTTAAATTAGATTTGATGGTATCTGGTTCACATTGCTATTAACCCTTATAAAATGTAGGAAAATCTGCATTTGTTATGAGAAAGCTTTGTGTTTTCAATATTCATTTCTTGTAGAAAGCTAATGAGATTCTGAAACCCAAGTCTTGCTTTTAGTGTGTAAATGTGCTGCAATATTAGTGAGGATATGATTTCTCACACTTTGGCCTTTTGATGAAACACCTTTGCAATACTAGTATGTCACCTTATCCTACAATTTCACACATCAGCTGCCATGGTATCTGCCCCGAGAGCCCAGTTTCACATTGCACTAATGAGTCAACACCTGTTAGAGTAGAGAAATCTGAACCTTGTTAGCGACTGTGCACTCTCCTGGGAACTTGGATGTTGAGCATTGTCATACTCACCTCCAACATGTCTGTACTAAGGACTCTGGCTGCAGCTGTGATGAAGTCTCCTATCAGCATTGTAAAACCAGGTAAACCCAAGAAGAAAAAGCAAGATGGGCAGTGTTTTACGACGGTATTTAAAATATCCTGAAAAGAAGGAGACTTCTCTCAATTTTTATAGAAAAAATATTTGAGAATATTTATCATTGTATTTTATAATGATGTTACTGGTAACAGAAATTAAGTGCTAATATTTGATATATAAAACACAAATATACATATAATGGAGCACCCCAATACATTGATCTGGTTTACTATTCTGTCCTCGAGGCGCACACCTCCTAGAATGGTTTCCAATTTCTGTAACATTTCAATTCTTACTCCCTTTGAGAAAAATTCATAGGTTTCTTTATTTAGAAACACATTGAAAAGGAAACATCTATTTATAAGATGATGCGTTTTATGTTTATTAGATATACTAAAACATTCAACTGATTCGTAAGTTTATGATAAACAGATATACCATCAGAAATGGACCACAAAATCATTTTATTCAGGCTTCCATAGCTATATAACGTTAATGAAATTACACTAATGTCCTTGTTTCTGAGTAGTTCAAGACAATAACCTATAGCCATTATTAAAACTTTAGTATGACTGCTTCATAGGAACGCACAAATGTCAACACAAAAAGTACCTGGGCATAGAAAAGAAAAAGAGAGTAACCGAGAAATCTTTGTTTAACTTTTACCAGAAATCACACCTACCAGTTATCATAATAAACTAGATGGGGTAAACATCATTTTTTAATGAATTACCATATATACTCTATCTTAAGCCGGTTCGTTTATAAGCCGACCCTCCCAAGATGGATAAGTAAAAATGTAAAAATGTTATGACCCGTTCATAAGCCGACCCTATAATTCAGGGGAAAGCAAACTTTGGCTCTCGGGCCATGAGGATAAGCCGCTGGCGGGCTGAGATGGTTTGTTTACCTCGAGCGTCCGCAGGGGACCCCCACACTCTCCCCATCCCATCCCACCTTATCTGGGGAGGATGTCTCTGGCCTGGCTGGAGCTGCTCCGGCAGGCTGGGCAGCGCGGCCGCAGCCTGCTCCGGCAGGCCAGACCAGGCAGCGTGGTCGCAGCATGTTCCAGCGGGCTGGGTGGCACGGCCGCAGCATGCTCTGGTGCCCGGGCGGCGCGGACACAGCCTGCTCTGGGGGGCGGAGCCAAGCGGCATGGCTGCAGCCTGCCAGCCCCGAAGCTGGAGCTGCTTCGGAGGCTGGGGGGAGAGCAGCGTGGCCAGAAGCGGGGAGACTCTGGTCCCGCCTCTTCCCTTCTGGCTGTGCTGCTTCTCCTTGCTCCCACTGTTGGGGGAGGGGCTGTGTCCCACCTCTCCCTCTATATACCAGTTCATAAGCCGACCCCCTTCTCTGGTGCTTCCCTTTTTTACTAAAAAAATTCGGCTTATGAATGAGTATATACGGGTATTTCATATGCTAAAGGGAAGTCTGCATTAAGTTTAAGGGGTAGAACACCATCAAAAGCATTGCTGGCACACATATATGTATTGTGTGTGCACACACTTTCTTGGAGTGAGAATTTTTTCATTCCTTTTCCTTCTGCTCAATTTTTTCACTGGCTGTCCTTATCAAGAAATGATCCCAACAATGTTTGAGTTGAAGTTCCAAACCTACAAAACTTGAGTGGGTTCAAAATTAGACACAATGTTTGCATAAACCCTGACTGCAATTATTACTTTTTCAGAAGAATGAGGTAGTTGATTTACATAGAAGTTCAAAACCATTCTCATTCCTACTAAAAGATTAAAGAAAACTTACTCAAGAAAATTATTAGGCTCCCTCCTTTCCCCACAACTGTTTTAATGCACTAAAGAAGGCCTGAACTTATTTTAGAACACAAAATATTTTTCCTGCTTGATTTTTAAATCAGAAATAAAAATTTGTCTATCTTAGAATAGTCCATCAGTAGCTTAAAAACTAGCAAGAATTTTACATCACAGGTATCAAGGAAGTGAAACTTGATTAATAGTTTGAATAATATTATTTATCCTGTTTAAAACTGTTTTTTTTTTAAAGGTCACTTATTTAAACAAAAACACCTGAGAAAAACTCGCTTTGTTAAGGATTCAACATTTCCATCCTTTCGATTAAGATCCGAGAAAGTTATCAATCTACATTAATTCTGAAACCTCCAGTTATTCTCAAGAACAATGAAGACCAGATTTGACATTTCTGAGATTTGGAAATTAAAAAGCATACACATAATAAATAAGCAAAAAGAGCATAAACTCAGTCTTTTTTCCATTTGCAGATCATCCTTTTAAGTTACATCAGTAATTTGCAAAACATTATAGAAGTCTCAGCAAAAACTATTTATTGTTTCTCCTTTAAAATATTTACATTAGCATACTGTGAAATGATAAACCAGCTTGTCCGTTATAAAATTAAGAGATAATTTTTAATTTTGGCATTGCAGAAGATAGTGTTTTCACCTCTCTGAATGACCACAATGCCACTCAAGTTAATGTTTAAACTAGTTTTAATCACTTCCTTTGATACATTTTAAAGTCAATATCAGTCAATGCAAACATTCTAAAAGACTGAGCAGATGGATGCTGCAGCTCATAAAGTGGGTGGTAAACTCATGCTCTGAGGGCAGAACAAAAGATCCACCCTTTTTTTCATAATTAAGGGGCTGATTAATGCATTGGGCTCCTCACAACACACCTGTAATTACTAACAGAGGTAGGTATTGCACTGTGCTCTGTCTCTGAATATCAGGCATCAAGCTATACAGCAGCAGATGGGCGTACACTTCTGCTGACATATGCTACAATAAAAAAATGCACGCAAACCTGGCTTAAAAGGTGGCAGAACGTAGCAGATTTGATGAACACCACAAACAACTGCATTAACTTTGTCCTGCTTTCATTAATTCCATCTGTTCAAGTTAGATATTAAACCAAATCTTCAATTTTTGTTTTGAAATCTTTAAAAATTGGCTGTGGAAACTACTGGGGGCAGGGCTCTGTATGGTATGGACAAAAGGTCTGTGAGCCTCCTGAGGAGGCTTCAAAGATTCAATAAACACCCAGTCTTTTCGGTATTTATCCAAGCTGAACCTGAACCTTTAGGAGGATCACCCTTTACTAATGTCTACTGCTAGCATGGTGTTGATTAGGTTAAGAATACACTGTACACAGGATTATGAAGCTTTAACTTTGGTCCTTTTTACATCACCCTTTGTAAATAAGCAGTGGAAGAAACTAATATAAATGAAAGACAAAGCTGTAGGTCTGAGAATACAGTTGCAATATAAAACAAAATGATGCAACTTTAGCACCAGATATGTTTTTACATTGCATTTTTCTAAACAATGCAAGAATTTAGTTACAGATGCCATAATGTTTGCTGCTGAAGAAACATAGTAAAGTATCTTTTACAAATTAAAAAAAAAGGATTTTTCCCCCTGAAGTAAGAAGTCAGAAAACGTCTATAAAATTGTTTTGAAAAGACTATTACAGTGGAGTAACCCTGAGCTTCTCTTTTTCACTATTCACACTCAGGATTTGCAATTTTACAACACATGTCATGCTACTGGGCGATATGGCAGGCTCACAGCTATTGGCACCAAAGTTATCTATGTACAATTGAGTAAAAGTCAGTTTACACTCAGTCTTTGATTTTATGTCAGTTTCCACAGTCAAATTCTGATCTCAGTGATACCAGTGTAAATCCAGGGTGGTTCTATTGACTTGGTTAACATTAATCCTGTTTTATACCCATATAAATAAAATCAGAATCTGCAAAAAATAGGAAAAAGGCTTCTGCTTTACATAAAATTAATATTAATAGTATAACCTTAAAAATGCAAAGTTTAATGACAAAGTTTGTCAAATTTTATGTCTTATTTCCTGATTAACACACTTTTGTGCATTATACACATCTAGTGACAAAAGCTAGATTTTATGAAGTAATACAGTAGGTTTGCAGCTTATCAAAAGATTCAGGTTTATGAGAAAGCAACCAAGTGAGAACATCTGTCCTTTATCAGTGATCTTGCAAAAATCAGGTAATTCAAACAGAGGCAAGTTGTTTCCTTCCCTTCCAAGCACGGTTCTATAAATGTAAACTGTATTCAGCAGCTTACAGCCTAGTAAATGAATCACTTTAATTGAATGCTATGTACACAGTAACTGGAAAAACACAAGCAATAAGAAAAACATATGGTGATGGCAATAGAAATTGGTTTACTCATTGTGTACAGTGTTGTTTCTTTACTTCTTTCATAATTGACCTTTAGAAGGATAAATGTGTAAAATAATTTTGGTTTATTATGGCTCCAAACCTTTCAACAATTACACAAAATGAAAATCTAAAATGAAGTATTCATTCTGGAAGCATTTCCATTGTTTACATAATTGCACAGCTATAATTTAGTGTTCACGTTGTTATGGAAAAGTGAAAAAAAAGAACCATTATGGACTATTTCAATTCCAAATGCTTCACCGTAGTGTCAAAAATGGGGGGAAAATCCCGTTTATGACAGTCTAAAATGGATTAACCCTATAATTGATAACATAACGTATTTCAATACAGAGTATTCTAGTAGTGAACAAAATAACATCATATGGTCATCACCATCCTCTCAGTATGTGAAAAAAATGTTTACGCAAGTTCACTGAAAGGTCAATTATAAAAATATTCTTCACTTAGTTTTTGCTCAGGCTATTGCAGATTATAGGTGTAACAAAATAGCTTGCCATCTGTCTTTATCAGGTTTCCCAACTGTCCCTCATCAGGAACAAGCTGGGTTTTCCACTGAAAGTTCACCTTGTTCTTCAATGAGATATCACCAGGGACTGGAATTTACAAAAAGGAAAATATCCATCACAAAATTGCTCTGTTTGTTTTCAATTTTTTTAAAAGGAAAAAATACTTAAATATGCTGGTTTTGGAGTTTCCCAGAGAAGATTTTCTGTCCTTTTCCTTTTTCAGTGTTTCAATAGAGCTACTATATGGTCTGAATAGACAAAGGATAAACAAGATGAAATTCTTGATAAAGGCACCCTCACTATTCTAGCTACAATGATATTTTTAGTTTCTAAAACATTAATCTACT